TGCCTTTATTTTACAGAAAAGCTTTTTTAAAAATAAAAAAAACATATTTGAAAGTATTTCATCCTTTGCCCATTTAAGGCCAAGTTTTCTTCAAAAACATTCCATAGATGGATATTTTTAAATGAGACTGTACACCTACTATGCTGACTTTAAATAATGTATCGAGTTAGAAAAAACATCAATAGTTAAAAATACTAAATTACACATACTGCATTTAACTGTTCCTGCAGTAATATAAAAATGTTTATAAAATATCTTAAGATAAATTTATATATTCCTCTAGTTTGTGAAAATTGCAATAACCTTTCTATTTACCAATAACTTGTAATTAAAGCACATTCATAAGTGAATTTCAAACACTCTCTCAGATGGAACAGCTGGGAGAAGATACTACAGAGGGCAGTTTTCATAAGTAAACTTTCTATTGATGGTATAGGTACCATCATTCAACACTAAAAAGTAGCATGGCTGGAATCTAGGAAATATATAAACAAGCAAGAGTGAAAGACAATCCTTTAAGGAGAATGAGGAAAATACAATTCACAGGGTCATCTATAACTCTGAACTCAGTCGGCCTTCCTGATTTTTCAAACTTTTGCCCAAATTTCTGAGATTATAAGGTCCGAACTTTTAAAAGTCCCATATAGTAGATTACATATACATATCAGTATTAGGCAATATTTTATACTTAAGAAGTCTAGCAAATATTTAAAAACCCAAGTTTACATAAAGTACATTGCACTACTAATGCATTCTATGGAAAAGAAAACTGGGAAGAGAATAATTGAATGACATTTTTAAGGTGACACCGAATTAAATAATGAAGCTGGTAACATAAATCAACTTTCCATTCCAATTAGAATTTTTAAGAGTGGCGGCGGCCGGGGCGGGGGGGGGGCGGGTGGTTGGATCTCAAGCAGGCCCCAGGCCCATGCAGTTGGGCTCCATCTTCCCGAGATCATGACCTGAGTCGAAATCAAGAGTCCGATGCTCAACCGACTGAGCGGCTCAGGCACCCCTTGGTACAAATATTTTAAATCCACTATAGTCTACTTACTTTTTTTGCATGTATTTAAAGTTTTTTTTTTTTAAATTACATGCCCTCATTACTGATAAATCCAAGTAATGAGGTTTTTTTAAACCTCACCATGCTCTAAAATTAGCAATCCTTTGAGACAATACCTTGACTTTTTTTTTAAATTGAAAACATTTCTTTTAGTATCACATCTTCAATCTTCATTTTTACTCATTCAACAGAGATCTAAGAGCCTATCCTAAGAAATCAATGGCATCATTCAAGCTGTTCCCTCAATTTTTATAATATTCAATTATGCTATAAGGGGAACAAAACTGTGCCCTTTATCCTAAAGTTGGGCTCTCAATTCACATTCAGGAGGAAAATAATTTCTTGCTTTCTAATGCACACAAACAAAACAAAAAATGATTAAAGCAGTCAAATACTCTGATGGTTTGAAAGCTTATACACCCGTATGCTTAGCTCTTAACCTTTAAATTCCATCTCCAAAAATAAGACTTCTCTAAAACTGGGGAGGAGTGTCACTCTTATGAAGCCAGGCATGAACAGCATTAAGGCAGAGTAAATTCGCTTAATTATCCATAATAAAGTTTGTGCCCAGTTCCTTCCTTTACCCTGTATCCCAACATAAAGTTTGAGCTAACCCATAAGCAAATTCTACTCATTAACTCACATTCCTTTTTTTGTTTTTATATGGCCAAAGCAAGATGATATCAGAATAAAAACTCTCCCAAGTACTTCATTCAATATCTCCTGCGATTCCAAATAAACCCAACTGCACAAACAAAAAGAAAAAAAGCTCCCTGGAAAGTTTAAAGAGTACATAGTCCTTCTTTTATCAAAATAGAATTTTTCACAAGTGACCCAAAGAGAATTACAGCTTAGGAAAATCAAGCCTTTAATTCTGAGGAATAATTTGCACCTAGAGAAAAATTCAAGGTAATGGTTTTTTTCACTGCACGTGGACTTCAGACCAAATCTATTTATTTTGATTTTGCTGAAGTCTGGGTATAACCACTTGTCGGCCTATGCTAGGGGACCACCTTCCTAGTAACAGTATCTCACAACAAGGTGCTTTTGATACCTTAGTAACTACACTACCTCGGATGGGCTTTCGCACAAACCTGACCATAACATTTTGGCATTTTAATTAGGTTTCAATGTATTCCTTAAATGGCACAGCACAAAACAGATGACAAGTTTTCCATTCAGTTAACACATTAGCAAGTGGCATACAAGCAGCACAAGTTCGAACTGAAGAAGCCCATAAATATTAATTTTGTCCCCACTTTTGAGAAAGGGACAAGTCAAGGAACATAGTGATAAAACTTACATTATGCCAGAAACCTATTCCTAAGTTGCCGTATGCCAAATGATCTTTTATAAATCAAGTCCTGTTTGATAAGTACCACGTAAAAGGAATTAAAGGCAACTTTTAGTGAAACCTTTTTGTAAAATATAGAATTCTCATAGAACTAACCACTACTTAATTTGTTTTGTAATCTTATACTTGTAAATATCAAATTTCTTAGAGCACAGCTGCTTTCCCAGGCCAAATTCATCCCAGCATTACTGCCCTTCTCCCTATTTCCCAAGCTTTAAAAATGTCACCCAGAAAACCATGTTGGTGGTAGACTACACAAGCAATACTAGAAAGGTTGAGAAAAGAACTGATTTTTTTTTAAATGTAAAATAGAAAGGTCTGTATTCTCCAAAAAGAAATCAATGACTTATTTTTGGCAGTGAGCACAATAAATTCCCAATAAAAACGATTTTAAAAAACCAAGATACACGTATCTCAAATCTCTCTCTCCTGTGTCTTTATCACTCGGTGGAAACTGTTCAAGAACAGTTTATCTCCATGAACACATGACCTCCATGATGCTACCAAGGTCAATGAGGTCTACAGGAGGGGCACATGCTGAGTAAGTGCTGATTTGCCCAATTCTACAGTTCCCTTTAAAAAGAGAGAAGGAAGGTTGAAAAAAATTATTTATATGTCACAGGAAATGATGTTCGAAGTTGTAACAGTCAAGTAGCCCATTTCGGGATTGTATACAGACAATATGTCAGCAACAGCCAATAGGAACAAGACCTCGAAAGGGTGTCAGAGCAGAGTCAAGTACAAAAATTGCTGCACAGAAAGAACCAACAAGATCCCAAACTGAATAATCCTCCTTCACATCTTGTATCGAAACTCTTTGGTACCCTGGGTACGTGCCACAACCACTCAATTTTCAAGTGAGGGTTTTCTGTTGACACAACTTTGTGAAAATGACAACCAAAGATTCATAATCAACAGAAGAAGCTCCCACGTGTCAGAAACGCTCAAGAAAGGAGCAAGTCTGGGGATCCCTGGGTGGCTCAGTGGTTGAGCACCTGCCTTCAGCTCAGGGCCTGATCCTGGAGTCCTGGGATGGAGTCCCACGACGGGCTCCCTGCATGGGGGCTGCTTCTCCCTCTGCCTGTGTCTCTGCCTCTCTCATGAATAAATAAATAAATCTTTAAAAAAAAAAGAAAGAAAGGAGCAAGTTTGCTTAAGCTGGGCCTTGCCAGTTCACGTGGAAGTCACCAGGTGCCTTGGCTGTTCTCCTACCCTTCACAGAAGACTCCTTTGGACACTTCCCCAGCTCCCACAACTCTGCAACCTTTCACAAACCACAAGTTTTCTTGGATCAGATTTAAACTTTAAAACCCATCACCCACTCGCTATACTGTTTAAGCCGGGACTTCACGCTCAAAAAAAAATAATAATAATAACCCTTATCAATCTGAAGCTATCGCATCTGAAATGTCCAAACAACTTCCAAAGATGGTGCCAAAAAAAAAAAAAAAAACCCAAAGGGGGGGGGGAAGGCAGGTCAGAGCTAGCACCTGATCATTTGAAAAGTGACTTCGTGGGGGAGCAGTTTCACTGGATCATCCATTGGGACGCTGGGTGAAGTGCAATATAATAGCGGAAAATTAAAGAGGGGAGGAGGGAAGAAAAAAAAGAAAAAGAAAATCCAGCAGAACCCACTGGGTATTCACCACCGGCGGAGACCTGGGCCGGTCGCAGGCGTCGGAGTTACACTCAGGGAGGCTCCTGATTGGCGGGTGGCGCCGGGTCAACGTGATTACTTAACCCTGGCAGCTCTAACCCAACTCCACTTTGATGGGCTCCAGGGCTGATTGCAGAAAAAGGCGGGGGGGGGGGGATGGGGGCCGGAGCACCCCGAGGGCTCAGGCGTCCTCCCATTCTTCCCCCGCCGACACGGAGCCTGACACCTGAAACTCCTCCGACACACAGGCACCGGCTCTCGGCGCTGCAGAGTTTTGAACTTGTTATTCCAAAAAGGCCCAGTGGGCACAGATTCAGGGGTGGGGGCGGGGGTGGGGGCGGGGGGGTGATGTGAGAGATTTACCCATTTCCTGCAGACCCGAGGAAGAACTCATGACCCCTCAAAGCAGTTCCCTCTCTCTCTCCCAAGTAACTTTTTTTTTTTTCTAATCATTTCGTCCTAAAATAACCGTAAGCCACGAAACCCCAAACACTGGCCCGGCAACGTCCCCCCAGCAAGCGCGCCCCGGGGCTCCCCGCGGGCGGGCTGGTTCCGCTCCGGCCCCCTCCCGCCCGGTCCCGCCTGGCTTCCCCGACTTCAGCTGGAAGCCCCGCCGCTCGGGGTGCCCGGGCCCGGGGCAGGGTGCCCGCAGCTGCGCGGGGCCGCGTCCCGGAGGCTCCCAGCTGCCCCCCCGCGCACCTGGCCCGGCCCACCTGCCTCCGGCCGCCCGACCCCACGCCGGGGCGGCCGCAGCGGCCCGGGGCGCGACCCCGAGGGGCAGCGGCGCCAAAAAAAAAAAAAAAAAAAAAGAGGAGAGGGGCCCCGGCGGGCTGACCCGCGACGCCCCCAGAGGCCGGGCCGCAGCGCCGTCGGGTCCTGCGGGTCAGGCGGGCTGAGCGCTCCCCCCCGCCCCCCGCACTCACCTGGCGGGCTCCCGCCGAGGGGCCGGGCGGGGGCGCCGGGGGTCGCGCGGGGAGGCCGCCCGCCCGCCCGCCCGGAGCGCCGCGGGGAGGGGGCGCGGCGGCGGCGGCGGCGGCGAGAAGGCAGCCTCGGCCGTGTCCGTCATGGCGCGCGGCGGCGGCGGCGGCGGCAGCGGCTCCCTCGGGCCTCCCCGCTCCCTCGCCTTTAGTTTGACCTTTCCCTCCAGTGTGTCTGAGGCAGAGCGGCGGTGCGCGCGCGTGTGCCTGGCCCCGTGTGCGCGCGCGCGTGCGCGCGCGTGGGGAAGGGGCGGGGCCGCTCCCCGACGCCTGACGTCACTGCCATGGCAACGGCCGCCCCGCCCCTCGCCCCCCGTCTCCCGCCCCCGCCCTCCGCTCTGTGCACGTTCCGGGAGGGCCTCACGTGCTCACTCACACGCACGCACGCACGCTCGGAGCGCGCGCGCCCGGAGCGCCCGGAGGGGGCGGGGTTGGGAGGTCATGGGCGGAGCCTCCCCCCCTCCATCCGCTGAGTCCGACCAATCCTGAGAGGGCGGGCGGGCGGGGCGGGCGGGCTGCCTGAGCCGCGTGAAAAATCTCCCCCGGGCGGAGCGAAAATGCACCGAGGGCGACTGAGCATGCTCGGCGGTGCAGGAGCTGCCTTCCCTCCCCCTGCACCCGCCGGAGTTTAGGCAGCAGGTGCGGGGCGACCCCCTACCCCCACCCCGGGCCCAGGGTCGGGGAGATTCAGCCCGAGGGAGCCGGGGCCGCGTGATGTCAGGGTCGGACAACCTCGGGTTGCAGGCCGGCCTCGCCAGCTCGTGCTGTGTGACCTCGGACGTGCGTCCTACACACTCTGAGCTGGAGTCTTAATTAAGCAAAATGGGATTCGTAAAGGCTGCCACGGGGGTCGGGAGGCTGGGGGGGGGCGGTGAAGAGTACGGCATTGGGAGTGTCGCCAGTTAATATTAGGAGTCAATATTGTCATAATGCTGCGCGGTGACAGGTACGGACTGCGCTCACCGGGAGCACAGCATCATCACTATGTTATATGCCTGAAGCTGCCATGACATTGTACGTCAATTGTACTTAAAAAAAAAAAAAAGAGAGAGAGAGACAGTGGAAAATGGCCTGACCTGACCTAGGTCAACCCTGAAACTTAGCTGTTAGTATGGTGCCCACTAGCCTCCTGACTTTACCAATGGGGCCATGAGATGCAGAGATTTTTTTTTCAAAGATTTTATTTATTTATTCATGAGAGATGCAGAGGGAGAAGCAGGCTCCATTCAGGGAGCCCGATGGGGGACTCGATCCCAGGACCCCAGGACCCTCGGGTCATGACCTGAGCCAAAGGCAGGTGCTCAACCGCTGAGCCACCCACGTGCCCCTATGCGGAGAGATTAAAAGACTGAATATTCAACCTCGGAGAGTGGCAGAGACCCAGGCTTCGAGTTCAGTATTCTGTTTTATGTGGCCTTCCCTCTGGGTGACTGGAGGAACATTCTGGAAAAAGCCGTAAAGGGCTTCCTTTGATATGTGTGGATCCCCTGGTTCCCAACTGATCCCACTCCCATTCCCCCCAAAAGGTCTCCAAGCTGGACAGAAGGGCTGGATGGATACCTGAGTGCAACTTTTGGCGGTTACTCATTTGGCTTCTCCGTTTCCATCTGAACCAGCCCCAGAATGTTGCTATCCCCACTTCCCTGGGGGCCCCTAAATTTCTTCGTATCTCTGTAGGATAGAGTGTAAATGCAGTAGCAAGGAGCTCCAGGTCCTCACAATTCCCCGCTAGCTGAGGAAAGATGAGCTCCGTTAACTGTCATCAGTGACCCAGAGTCCCCCCAGTGGGCAGGGATGCCTTTCCAGCCCACAAGGAGACACACTGGTGACCTAACTTGTGCTTCCAGCCTTTCCCTCTAACTTAGCCCTTACTCACTTACTGCCTCATGGTAATTCTCGAGTGTCAGTATTTTTAACTCTAGATTTGTTGTTGACTTTTGAACATTCTATTATTGAAGTGTAGTTGACATACAATGTTGTATTAGCTTCAGGTGTACAACAGTGACTGGCAATTTTATACATTACTCGGTGCTCACCGTTAAGCGTAGTCACTACCTGTCACCATACATTGTTACAGCATTATTGACTATATTCTCGATGCTGTACCTTTTCAAAAAGTGTGTGTCTGTCTCCTTCTGTCTTAGAGCCCCAAACCTGATCTGAGTAAAGGACATCACCCTGCTCCCCAAACGTGCCCTTATGCTTCCCACTTTGTTGGTAGGAATTAATTTACTTGACCCTACCAAGTTGCAACTAAAATGTAGTCTCTTCCAAAAACTCCTTCTGGATCTACTCAGTTGGAATGAATTAGTCCGTTTTCCAGTGCAGTTGGTTTATACCTCCCTCGCTCTGGACACTATTCCTAGTAGACTTTGCATTCTGTGATTTATGTGCGTGTCACATACAGAAAGCTTCTCTGAACATCTAGATACGGGTTGGCTGTTCCTATTCCTTCCTCCGAAGGCATCTTATGGCCTAATATATCACTTATCACCCATTCCTTTAAGGCTTGATTTATTCGCCTTCCCCATCAGACGTAAAACTCTTTAATGACAGGAATCGTGTCGAGTTCCACTTCACATTTCCAGCGTCTCCCTTAGTACCAAAACACTACTGAACAACTAGCTATTGAATGGCTGAGCAGACTCCCTGTCTATTTCATAAAGTTCTTGGGGGCAGACTTTACCTTGTTTATATTTATAACTCAGACCCAAAGATTTTCTGGGAAGTTATGGATTCTCAATAAATCTTGGACTACTCTAAAATGCACCAGAAATTACATGGTCACACTCATGCAATGAAAGAAGGCTTTAGCAGTAGCACAAGATACTGAGCAGAGTGAGAAGTAGGAAATGTAGGGAAGAAGAGGTCATAGTGTCTTAATAGCTGCTCTTGTCGGCCTCAAATGAGAGATTTTCAGCTCTTAAGGATAATAGGCAAATTACTCCAACCGGTATCAGTGAAGTTGGTCCCAGAAAAGCGGAAAAATTATGCAAAGAGGAATCTTGAAAAAGAAATCAAACATTGTCTAGTCTGAAATGGCAGCATTTGTTCCTTTGTCTAATTTGGCACAATAACCTAAAGCCCAGTGGTGTTTTGGACATAGCATAGTTCTCTTGACATGCTATTTTACTCACTATGTGTTAAATCCTCACCAAGCCCAGTCTTCCTATTCCTGATCATGTTCGAGGTGCGGCCAAACTCTCATAGCCTGAATCATTCTCAGGTTGTCCCCATCCCCATTCTGTCCATTTTGCACCCCGTGATCCTCCTCCTGAGTAGGGTGGTAGGCACGGAGGTACCCCACTGCCTCAGCCACTGCCTTAGCAGGAGTCCTCATCTCTCATCTGGTTGAAAATGGAACTGGACTTTTCACTTTGTCTTGGGCTCATCCAGCCCCGCTTCCCCCCTACCCCAGACTGCAGAGAGACTTTTCCAAAGGGTAGAAAATTGAGCACATTCCCCCAGTAGTTTAACTGTCTCTTTGGCACGTCTTTGCCTTTTCAGGAAAGAGACCACTTCTTCGGTGGCTTTTTGTGCTTCATCCCCAAACAGCTTCTTCAGCCGTGTCTCCCACGACCTCTGCAGGAACTCTGCAGACTTTGAAAACACGCCAACTTCTCATACCTGTCATGTTTGTTGTGCACACAGGTTCACCGGCCTAGAATTCTCTGCTCAGGCCCCTCCACCAGGCTAATCTCTTTTATGCTTTCCAGGCCTAGGAAAGCAGCCATGCCGCAGACCCCCGGGATAGCTCTTTTCAATTCAGTTTGTAAATATACTGTATGTATATATTGTCATGTCTTATCTTCTCGCTACAACATGAGCCACTTGAGGGCAGGGGCCTTGACTTACCTTATGTATGTTATTCTAACACCCACCGGGGTGCCTGACACATAATAGATGCTCAATAATTGCTTATTGAACCAGGACATCTGAGTGGTTCAGCCGCTTAAGCCATGGACCCATGTTTTGAGCTCTGGTCATGATCTCAGTTGTAGGATTGAGCCCTACATCAGGCTCCACACTCAGCTGGAAGTCTGCTGGAGATTCTCTCTCTTTCTGCCCCTCCTGCCACATGAGCTCTCTCTATCTCTCCAATAAGTAAATAAGTAAATCTTAAAAAAAAAATACTTATTGAACCAATGAACGTATTATAAGCTCCATGAGGGAGAAAGCTATTACATGTCTTTGAGCCTTCACAAAACCATGCCCATTATTACACAAATGATAAGTAGGTACTTAAAATAACAACCAATGAATGAAAGGGTAGCAATGAGACATTAAAAACCAACTACGAATCAGAGACTAAACTTAATGTTTTCCTTTTATTCCTTCAGTTAATCTCCCAGCAATCCTGTTTAGTAGAATGTTATCTACATTCTGCTGATTAAGAAGCCCAAACTTCAGGAGAGGAAGTGACTGGACCAAGGTCACACTATTAGCCAATCCTGGCCAGGCCAGGATTTGGTGGCCAGTTCATCTAATTTGGAAATAGACTATTATGGAAGGCATTCTGCTGCCGTGGATGTGATGGTGATGGTGCTGCTGGGACTTTTGCCCTTCCTTATTGCACCTATCTTGTCATGACCAAAGGATCCTACATTTATCAGAGAAATTGGTGCTCCCTTTGTTCCAACAGGAAGAAATGTGACTACATTACATATGGGGAATGCACAAGTCAACCTAAATGGAAGGGCTGTATTTTTCCTTTTTCTTTGTTTTTCAGACCAATTTTTCCATAACCAAAATAAAAATTACATAGTTTTAGCATACAGATGTTGAGCATGTAAGGATAAGGTGTGTAAAGTTGGCCTTTGGGATATGAAGGACCCAGCTGAGGGCTTTTTGGAGATATTTGGAAAATGAAAACATCTTTGGATTAGTAGCATTCATGAAGAGCTAAGGTGAATCTCTGTATTTAAAAGGTAATCTTAGGGTGCTGGGGTGGCCCAGTCAGTCATGCACCTGATTCTTGGTTTCAGCTCAGGTCATGATCTCAAAGTTGTGAGATGGAACCTTGTATCGGCATCAGGCTCCATGCTCAGCACGGAGTCTGCTTAAGACTTTCTCTTCCTCTTCTTCCCCCTCTCCCTGCCACTCTCTCTCTCTTTCTCAAATAAATAAATAAATCTTA